GCCCCAGCCCAGAGTTGAGCAAGGTGGTACCATCCTGGCCCCCCAGGCTCACCATCCTGCATGGGCACCAGGTCCTGGTCATGGCAGGTCAGGATCTCCTTATACAGCTCCTCTGCCTCCCGGTACTTGCCCTGCTTCAGGTATGAAGAGGCCTGTGGGAGGGGCGAGGAGGGCAGGGCACAGTGAGGGGGGCAAAACTGCCCCCTTAACCCTCTGCATGCCAGAGCAATCCCCTCCCCCCCACCATTAACCCATCTGCACCGGTGCCCCCGAGCCCTGGCACCAGGTTGTTCTTGGTCTTGGCCACGCTGGGGTCACGGGGGCCGAGTCGGGCCTGGTAGATGCGCAGGGCACGGGCGTAGTACTGCTCCACTGCTGCGAACTTGCCCTGGTTCTGGCACAGCAGCGCCAGGTTGTTGAGCTGCTTGGCCACATCAGGGTGGTCGGTGCCCAGGACCTGCAGCAGGGAGTGGGGGGAAGAATCAGGCTCTGCCCTGCATAGCACGGGGGAGTGGGGGCACAGGTTGGAGGGCAGCACCTTCTCACGGATCTCCAGTGCCCGCTGGCACAGCGGCTCGGCCTCCTTGTACCGGCCACGCTTGCCGTACAGCACTGCCAGGTTGTTCAGCGTGGCAGCCACCTGTGAGGGAGAGGGGGCTCAGAGCCCAGCTCTGTGCCCACCCCATCTACTCAGCCTCATGCAGGGTGGGGGCAGGAGCCGGGGGGGGCGGCTACTCCAGTCCCATGGGGAGGGGGCAGGGCCAAGGGATCTCCCCTTGGCACATGCTGGTGCCCAGCCCTGGCCTGCCTCCCTGGGGCCGGACTTGGGGGCGCGGGTCAGGGCCTGAAGCCCCTCACAGGGAACCCCTTCCCCTGCCCCGCTCACAGCTGGGTGCTCGGCGCCCAGGGTCTGCTCCCGGATGTCCAGCGCATCATTCAGCAGCTCCGTGGCCTCCTTGTACTTGTTCTGGTCCCTGGCAGATGGGCAGAGCTGTGTCCCAGGGCGTGCTGGCTGGGGTCCCGCGTGCCCAGAGGTGGCCAGTTGGGATCCCGTGTGCCCCAGGCAAGGACTGGCCAGGGTCCCATGTGCCCGGGGAGGGGCCAGCCAGGGTCCCACATGCTAGCTGGGGGGGCCTCACCGGTAGACGAGGGCCAGGATGTTGAGCATGGTGGCCACGTCGGGGTGGTTGTGGCCTGAGCTCTTCTCCAGGTCCTCCAGTGCCTGCTTGCAGAGAGGCACAGCCACCTCGTAGCGACCCTGGGCTGCGTACTGGATCACCAGGTTGTGCAGTGTCCGCAGCCGCGCCGGGATCTCGTAACCACCTGGCTGGGCTGCGTTCCCCGCCACACCGTCTTGGGGGGTGACAGGCATCAGCTGGGGGCAGGTGCTCCCCGCCCCCCCCCACCCGCAGCCCAGGGGAGA